CACGGATGGGCTAATGCATTTGAGAGCTTTCTTTGTTTACATGACAGGACTCAAAATGAGAAGAAATGGCTTCAAACATCCATTAATAATCAAATTATGGAATGTATGGAATATGAATCTATGAAAGTTAGAAGCTATCAAAAATTAAATGTTTAAGAAGAATGGGAATATTATATTTTGAAAGAGAAAACAAAAGAGAAATAGCAGAAAGCAGATAAACCAAGGCATATGTTTAATCTATTGTCAAAGTGTGAAGTCAGCTGAAAACATAAAGATAGCAATTGAATATATAAATGATTACTTTCATTTTTCAGTAAATGTACTCCTGTCTCCAACAGCTTTCATGGATATAAATTTGATTTTTTACAAGTATAATTAAAATAGGTTATTTTGCAGCTGTTAATAAAGAATCTTCCTATAGGAATTCTCACGCAAGATTATGTAAGCTTTAATATACTTATTACCTTTTATTTTTTCCCACACTATCTTCCTTATTTTTATACAGTGAAGAGAAATGTGACAAACCATGTATATGAAGTGGAATTCAATAAAAACGTTTGATGCATTATGTTAAAAAAATTAAATGTAATACATGAAAATCTATATCCTAGGCAGTAGTGAGTTGAAATGGACTGGTATTTGCTTTGTGGAACCAGACAATCATATGGCCCACTCTGCTGAGAATGAAAAAATGAAGAGGAATGGCATTTTATTCGTCTTTAAAAAGAGCATTTCAAAATATAACCTTAAGTACAAAGGTGTCAATGGTAGGATATAAAGAAGAACAGTTAATATGACTTTTATTTAATTTTACACACCAAACACTACTACCAAAGATGATGAACTTAAATATTTTTACTAACTTCTGCAATCCACAAGAGCCAAAATACAACTGTCAGTATCTTCAACCTGAATTTGAAGAAGAGATTTTATGAACTGACCACTAATAACTGAAGATCAGATGAGTTGTGGGATGATATCAAAGACACCATACGTGGAGAGCTGGAAAGATTAAAAAACAAAACCAAAAAAACCCAGGAAAGAGAACATATCAAACTGGATGTCAGAATAACGGAAGCAAAAGAAAGAAATTATGAAGTCAAATTGCAGAACAGACTTCAGCTCGAGAATAAAAAAGATTATAATGAAATGTGCACGGTCCTGGAGTTAGAAAACCCAGTTGAGCATGCTCAGTATTTTTCAAGGTAAAAGACCTCAAGAACAAATTCAAGTATCAAGGTTCAATATAGAAGGATTCTATGGAAAAAATATTGAATATCATGCATAGCCATGATGCCAAAAAAATGATTAATGTTCAAATTTAAAGAGGTAGCATATGATGAAGAACCTATGATACTGAAAGAAGCCAAATCTGAAGTGTAAAGATTGACTAAAACCAAGGCTCCAGAAAATGATGGAACCACAATATAAATACTTCATTAAATGGATGCAGTGCTAGAGGTGTTTACTTGTGTATGCCAAGAAATCTGGAAGACATCTACTTGGCCAACCCCCAGGAAAAGATCCATATTCATGCTAATTCCATATAAAGGTGATAAAATAGATTGTGGAAATGATTGGACAATATCATTAATATCACACTCAAGTTAACATTTGCTTAATATAATTTTTAAATCGTTGCAGCAGAATATCAATAGAGAACTATCAGAAATTCAACTGGATTGATTCAGAAGACGTGGAATGAGATATATCATTGCTGACTGATATCAGATGATCTCGGTTGAAAGTAGAGCATACCAGAAAGATGTTTACTTGTATTTCATTGACTATGTAAAGGCTTGGACTGTGTGTCTCATAAGAAATTATAAATAATGTTGTGGAAAATGAGTATTCCAGAGCACTCTATTGTGCTCATGTCGAAGCTGAGCATAAAAGAAGAGGCAGTCACACACATAGAACAAGGAACTATTATGTGGTTTAAAATTAAGAATGGTGTTCATTAGTATTGTGTCCTTTCACCTTGGTGATTCAACCTTTATAGTGAGAAAATAATTCAAGACACTGGAGTATAATTCAGTGTATTGGTAGGTCTTGCTTTCCGTGTTGGCTCTAGAAGAAGAACTTTCCTATTCTTATTCACTTTATGAATGTGTTAGTTAGCTGCCATATAATCAACTCCAAATAATGGTAAACGTATGTGCTAATCATATGAACAAACATTGTCCTGTCCTGAGATCCTCATAATGATCAACATGTCCAAGTCCATTGTTTTTGCAGCTATTATGACAATCCATCTCATGAAGAATCCTCCATGGCTTATTAATTCGCCAGGATGTTCTCCACCCATAATTGATCTCTACTGATGATATGCCTAAAGTGAGTAAATGAGACAATGGTTTGTAACGATTCTTAAAGTTTTCATTGGCTAAATTTTAGAATTTAGCCTTTGTTCCTAGTCTGTCTTAGTTTGGGAACTTCACAAAAATGTGCCCAATCTGGGTGATCCTTGCTGGGACTAAAATTACTGTTGTCATAGCTTCCAGCATCATAACAAGAGCCTCTGTAGCTCCAGGCATTTCTTAGTATTCCTTGGCATGTAAACAGACCCAAAAAGGGTGTCCGCGTCGTTGTGTGTGTGTGTGTGTGTGTGTGTGTGTGTGTGTGTGTGTTCGTGTTCTACTCTGCTCTTTTTATAAACCACCAATCACAGAGGATGAAGTGTAGGACACATCCCACTGTGGTATGACCTCATTACTTAGACAAGAAAAACTCCTTTCACCAGACATGGTCACATTTACCTTATCATTTGGGGGGACACAATTCAATCCAAAATATTCCACTCATTAGTCCTTTAAAATTCTTACCATTCCTATGTGAAAAATACATTCATTCACCTTAGCATCTCTGAATCATCGAAATTTTATATGGATAATAATCTGGGTATGGTCCATTGTACAGCAAAATTTCTTCTCTCCAGTTGTAGACCTTTTAAACCTAGGATACAATAGAGTGCTGCAAAATCAGATACCTAGACTTTATCCTGATTTATGGACTAAAGTAAATTTTTTAAATTACCAGGGTGGGGGTAGGGTGTTGCTGAGTACTTTTTTTTTTTCCTGAGAAGGGGACAGTAGTCCAAATCAGTTTGGAAACTTATTGTCTAAGCTGACAAGGCTCTCTGCTAATGTGGTTGATTAGAGCCATCTGTCATACCCCTAGTCTGTCTAGTAAGCAGTTGTGCAACCATACCCTTAGTGTCCTTTCCGGGTCATACTCTCTTCGTTTTCCCACATCTCTAAATTCGAGTTTCTTTTTGCACAGCTCATTTCTCAGTCTATGTCTTCCCTTGCACATTTTACTATAAGCAGCAAGGACAAATCGAACGTTCTTTCTTAGAAGTCTCCTCAGCCGAATATGCAACTTTATTACTTACGAGTTTGACTTCCAACAAAACATTTGAAAGTAATTTAGGCAAATTCTTTACCACTTTATAACAAGGAATATCTTTGCTAAAATGGTCATCATTTCCCTTGACGTCCAAATACCTAGCAAGATTCTGCTCATGAGGATAAAAGTTTCTCTGTAGAATTATTCATTTCTTTCTGAGCCCTCATTGGAATCACACTTAAGGGACATAATTTTACCAGAAGTTTCTATAAGGTAGTCTAAGATTTTAATAGGAAGTTCACCAACATTCCTCCAGCTTCTACCCATTGCTCAGTTTTAAAGTCACTTCTATATTTTGTTGTTTTGTTGTTAGGTGTCGTCCAATCAATCGCGACTCATAGCAAGCCTATGTGCAACAGAATAAAAAACTGCCTGGTCCTGCACCATCCTCAAAATTGTTCTTCTGCTTGAGCCCATTGTTGTAACCCGTGTTCTTTTTTTTTTTTTACAATACCAAAACATCAAAAAATATTTATAAATCACATGCAGAAATGTTTACAATCAGAATACATATATATACATATATGTGGATACGTGTAATGTTTGAAATGAACTTGTAAGTCATTAAAGACACCAAGTGCACTTCCGTTTCGCTTTTCCTCCGGCAATCACCACTCAGACCAATGCTGAGTTCTGAGGGATCAGTATCTGGAGGGTGCGACCCGTGTTCTTATGTTTGAGTCCATTGCTGAAGCCATCGTGTCAAAATATCCCCTCTTTTTCACTGCCCCTCTATTTGCAAAATACGATATCTTTCTCCAAAGGTTGGTCTCTCCAAGAGCACTCTGATTGTACTTCTTCCAAGATTGATTTGTTGGTTCTTTTGACAGTCCATGGCACCATCAATATTCTTCACCAGCATCTTAATCCAAATGCATCCATTCTTCTATGGTCTTCCTTATTGAGTGTCCTACTTTCACATGTGTAGGAGGGGATTGAAAATACCCTGGTTTGGGTCAGGAGCAACTTAGTCCTACAAGTAAGATCCTTGCTTTTCAACATTTTGAAGAGGTCTTGTGCAGCACTTGCCAATGCAATGCTTCATCGGATCTATTGATTGTGGATTCAAACAAGGCAAAGTCTTTGACAACTTTAATTTTTTTTTCTCCATTTATCATGATGGTACCTATTAGTGAGGTTGTGAGGATTTTGGTTTTCTTTACATTGATTTGTAATCCATACTGAAGGCTGCAATTTTTGACCGTCATCAGCAAGTGTGTCAAGTCCTAATTTTCAGCAAGCGAAGTTGTGTCTTCTGCACACCACAGGTCAAGAAGCCTTCTTCCAAGCCTAATGCCATTCTTCTTCATATCAACCAGGTTCTTTGATGATTTGCTAAGCATACAGATTGAATAAATATTGTGAGTGAGTCGTCCCTGATGCACACCTTTCCTGATGTTTAAACATGCAGTATGCCCTCCGTTGACACAACTGCTTCTTGATCTATGTACACGCTTCACATGACCACAATAAAGTGTTCTGAAATTCCCATTCTTCTCCAGGATATCCATGGTTTGTTTTGTTCCACACAGTTGAATGTCTTTGCATAGTCAGTAAAACACAAGTAAACATCCTTCTGGTATTCTCTGCTTTCAGCCAAGAGCCATCTGACATCAGCAATGTTATCCCTTGCTTCACCTCCTCATCTGAATCTAGCCGGAACCTCTGGCAACTCATTGTCAATGTACTGCTGCAACTATTGTTGGATGATCTTTAGCAAAAATTTACTTGCATGTGATAATAATATTGATTGATAATTTGAGCAGTTTGGCAAACCCTTATTTGGAATCGGTACAAATATTGATCTCTTCCAGCAGATTAGCCAAGCAGCTGTCTTCCAAATTTATTGACATAGATGAGTGAGTTCTTCTAGTGTTTCATCAGCTTGTTCCTAGAGGTATTCCATTCTATATTTTAGGTATTTGATAAAGCAAATCACCTACTGTCTGGCATCAAATTTTGAGGTTGTTTTCTCAGGCTGTCATAACAAAATACCACAAAGTAAGTACCCATAGTGAACATAACTTTTTATTTTCTTACCATTCTGGAGTCTATATATCTAAATTTAGGACAGATATTAGACAACGTTCTTCCTTATCTTACTCAGCTTCTGTACTCCTGGACATTCCTTGTGTTTATTACTAATAAATAGCTGTTCACATGTTGTGCTTCTCCCCCTCTAAGTGTGCCTGTGTGTATTCCAGTCTTTCTTTAATAAGACACTACTCAGAATAGACGAGGCTTATGATAAATCCTACTTTTGAATGATCTCATTCACATAACCCAGAATCCCTTATTTCCCCCAAACAGGTCACATTTTCCAAGGGATTTAGGGAACCAACATATCTTTGCAGAGGAACACAATTCAATCCCTAAATGTCATTAATAATTTTTCCATATACATTATGAAAAATAAATGAACTCTGTATTTATCCTGCCACCTCAGGATTAATAAAAAATAAAGAAAAAGTAAGTTCATTTAAGGAAAAAAATAAATCAGTTATGTAAAAAATTATGAAATGATGCTAAAAAGATTGAGACTTGGAAAATAAAATTGTGAATATACAGAGTTATATATTAGACTCCTTCTTTTCCCTATAATGTACTCTAAATTGATGTTTTCGATGCAAAAATATACTTAATTCAATATTATTTTGACTATGTTGGTGGAACACTAAGTATCCATGAACACGTCCATTTTATACTATCCAAGTACTACTGGGACAGTGTGTTTGAATAGTAATGCTATATTCCTTCAGAGAAGCAGAAACAGCTTTGACATAAAATATCTGTGGGAAGAATATCTGGCAGAAGATGCTCCAGGCACCAAATGTAGTAGTTAATGGAATTACTTGAGAAAATGGAAAAAAATAAGGAGAGAAGATGAAAGTATAATCAGAGAGACCAAGAACAATTGACTTATGTATCAAGTTGTGGAATAAGATAAGGGCATAAAGGAAAGACAAGATTTATAGCAAATGAAGCCTAGATCTTTGATTATTGGGTATATGACTGTGCATACCTTTTATTTGGTACCCCATTTGCTCTTTTCACTGCTTCCCTATTTACCAGGCACTTATTCTTTCTATAAAATCATGTCACATATTTCAAATTCTAGAAAAAAATCCTGGTACTCAAAATATCTTTTTCCATCACTAAACCCCAATTTAGATAGCATATATCATTCAGCAAAACTACAACTGAAACTTTCCTAACATTAAGTTTTAATAATTTATACAAAAATGCCTGAGCATATTCAACGTCACAGAATCAAAGAAAAAATTATTCCATTGCCTTCTACCTCCGACTTCCCACTACCCTTTGCATAAATATCCAATTCATAATTTATCATTCCCTGTTATGTTTACTCATATGGAAAATTCACTATATGCAATGTACACAAGCCCCGCACAGATCATTCAAAAACTACAAGGTAGATTACCTGATGAAAGTGAATTAATTGGCGAGTACTCGGAGCAGTTCCATCCAGAACCACATAGAAATAGCTATGGGACAAAAGAGAACAAAAGAACATGGCTAGCTGGTTCCATCTTACAAAACCTGCTGAGTCAAGCCTTTTAGTTAGTAATACTCATTCACAGCTAAGGGTTACAGGATTTTCCTCATACTTTCAGAGGCCTGGGACACCAATCTGCTGCCACCCCCATTTCTTGCTCATAAATCATGAAATTCTTAGCCTGGCATGTAAAATACTTCATAATCGAGACCCACTCTAACCTTCCAGGCCTACCTCACACCACTCCCTGTCCATTTTACGTGCTACGCTCCTTCTTCTTAATGAAATGTTACGTCAGTGAAGACCTCAAGGCCAGTTAAGTTTTACTTTTTCTCCTTATTTAGCCACTCAGACCAATATTTAGATAGGAGGAGTAAGGAATCTGTAGGGATTTTTGTTTTCTCATAGCGAAAATTTTAAATTTACTTCTTTATTGTCTATTAAAACCTCTATTTTGTGCCCTCCAACGCCTTTTCCCACCCCTGCCTCTGGCCTCCTCTTCATCAGCAAAGATTTGTGTTTTGGCATATAAAACAATAAATGTGTTTCTTCTTTGTTTTTGCTGAGAAAAAATAGTGATACTAAGTATTTATCTCTGTGAGATTGAGTTTGCTAAGCATAATGTTCTCTAGTTGTGTCCATGTTATCTGCTGTATTTTGTACTACATTGTTAGCAATTTCTTTACTTGGGATGCCAAGCTATCTTTTTGATGTGACCTTTTCAGTCAAGCCTCCCCAAACTGCTCCACTTTCAGAACAACAGTTTCTTCTTTCTCGGGCTTCCATATTATTTTGTATATTTCTAGTTTATATATCTCAGATTATACTGTGAAATTTGTGGCTATCTGTGCATTAGACTGTGAGCTCCTTGAAAACTGAAGTCAAATCTTTGTGTTCTCAGTACCTAGTAGAGTGGCTGGACTTTGGAGAGGATTCAGTAAATATTTGTAGAAGGAATGAATGTGAGTTACAGCTGTGGTGTGGTTAAATACATTCTACAAGTAGAGGTGTAGTAGTTATTGCTCAGTTGAAGGCAATATGGCACTGTATCCCTAGGAGAACTGAAAATTTTAAACTGCAAGAAGGGAAATCAAATGCAATTAATTTTCTATCTAATGAAATATTAACATAATTGTATTGCCTTTCTTATAATAGAAAATTTCAAAAATAAGATTTAAAGCCTAAATATTAGGGGAAAACGTTGCACGAACTGAAATGTAATAGAAAGATCTCAAGTTCTGGGGTCAAACTTACCTGAGCTTAAATTATCAGAAGTAATTCATTTAAGGCCTAACATGCACACTACTAATAAAGAGTAGAGATTATTATTATTATTAATTTAGGAGCCCTGGTGGTTTAAGCATTGAAATACAAACGTTAAGGTGCAAACACCAGCTGCTCCAGGTGAAAAAAATGAGGAGATTTGCTCACGTAAATATTTACAACCATGGAAACCCTACACAGGGTGGCTATGCATCGACATCAACTTGATCACAGTGGGTTTGGTTTGGGCATTATTATTTGTCATGCTATGTAAAGTTGAATATTTTACTAATAACCTCCAAATAGTGGTTATGTGAATATCTGATTCAAGAAAAATAGAAAAGAATCAAATACTCACCTATCTCCTTTCCAGTATTTCTTCAACCATTCCCATAATGGCATTGTGATCATTACCTTCCCAATTTATGCAACTCACCAATCTAAAACACAGATGATTTCTCTCCTGAAGTTCCTGGTATAGATCTTCCTTGTTTTGAGGAAATAAATCATTTTCTAATTCACACTTTCTTGGTGGAAAACAGATAATTGCTTATAATTAAAAAGCTTTTTCATCCAATTTATACTAAGTTAGAGTAAATCACAATGCTGCCAAGCCACAAAAGTACTTAATTAAGCAGAGGAGAAGACAATGGGTCAGTGTATTTGCTTGACTTGATTTCTAATCTCAATTTTACTAATCACTTAGACTTGGAAATTTTAGGTGACCTAGTTCATTGCACTAGGTATCAATTTCCTTACTTTTAGATGATAATTTCTATGCAGTGAGAACAGGATCATCTTTTAGAGAAAAAAATAAAGCTGGATCTCCACACATTTCCTTAAATTAAAAACTTTTCCACAAAAGTAAACAAAGAGTTAACTATAAAAAGTAAAACTATAGAATATCTAGGAAGATGTATGAATATTTATACTCTTGGAATGGGAGCAGTCTTTCTAAAAGAAAACAAAATCCAGAGTCACAAATAAAAGGGATGATTACATTGAAACATAATACTTCTGTATGAAAAAAAATGCTGATCTAAAAAGTTTGAAAGAAGAGAATAAAATCCCAATTAAAAAGTTACATAATGGATATGATCAAGTAATTCTTAGAAAAGACATAGACATGGCCACCAGACATGCAAGAGGATTTTTAAAGTTTGAGGGGAAATTCCCTTATCTTTCAATTTAATTTTTCATGACTATTTTGAAGTCCCCTTATGTGAAAAGAGAGTCATCTTTACTCATAATAAATACATGGAAATTGAAAGGAGTTCTTTTAACCTATCTAACTGGTAAAAATGTAAAGGGGTGAATATTATAAATGCTGACATGAAAAAGAGAATTGAGTTGCTTTTAGAGGTTGGCGAGAATGTAAATTTTGTCTGCTCTTGCCACCTCTTTTGAAATTATTTCTTTTCCAATCATTCATGGAAGTGCCTCTCTTACAATACTTCTACTATTGTGTTTTATATCTCAGAGCCATGCTTTAATCTTGGACATGGGGTGCAAATAAGCACATTGGTCTCACTCTCCCATCACTTTAACCCTTATCAGCCTTGAAGAAAGATCAAAGTATCCTTCAGTGTGGCTGTTTTTCTCTCCTTTGCCTTTACAATTGCATGTCCCTTCTTTCTCTGATAAACAAGTTCTATAAATTGAAAGAGTCTAGCCAGTGCAATTTTTAATTCTTTTTAATCAACAACTAGTAAAAGATAGTTAACTTTTTCAAATGTGACAAGACATTAATATTTCAAGGAATTTTTCTACCACTATATTTTTAAAGATTATTTTTTGATCACTTCTTGTTCTCTTGTCCCTGGGTTTGTTAACACACACTTCCTTTCCCCTGCCTCACTCTCTCCCATGTCCTCCCGCAAGGAGGGTATAGGAGGCCTGGTAGGGCTTGATCAAGGGCAATGTAACCGAGAGGAATTATTGAAACCCAAATGAAGGCTGAGCATGATAGTAGGACAAGAGGAAAGTAAAAGGAAATAGAGGAAGGAACTAGGAGGCAAAGGGCATTTATATAGCTCTAAATACAGTCATGTACATATGTATATATATTTATATATGATGAT